GTATTAAATGAATGCATGAAATAGCAATACTTTTCTAAATAATTAATTGAACATTAAACAAACTGTAAAAGTAGTTAAGACCGTTCAAAGCGCTACAATTAAATTTTTTTTAACATAGGGGTTAAAATTAAGTATTTTCAATTGTTTTGAGTTTATCCGAAAGTATTCGCATTTCAAGGGCATGCCTCTCAGATGCAAATTGTTTTTGTAGTTCGTGTACTTCTTTCATTTGCGTAATACGTAAAGTGTGCTCGATTTTCGCAAATTCCACTTCTTCTTTCAGTTTTATTTCCGTCCATTTGGACTTTATTTCTGCTAGCTTTGCCCAGTTGCAAATGTTATGTAAAACTGCGGTTGCAACGATTATACATTCCACTTCCCTGAGATTCATTCGTATTCCCAGCGCAAGAACTGGAAATCTTCGTTTCCACACACCGTATTGACGTTCAACACAATTACGAGTTCTGATTTGCGATTCGTTATATAACGCCTCAGCCGGAGTTTGTACTTTTAACAAAGGTGTCATTATCCACCGATTGCAAGGGTAGCCACTGTCGGCAACGACTATTGCATTCCCGAACTCCCCTGCTTCAAATCGGCTAAATATTCTTGAATTTTTAAGTATTATTGCGTCATGTGACGATCCTGGCCAACGGGCTACGATGTCCATGATGTTCAGTTTGCTGTCACAAAGCGTTTGCACATTAACTGAAAAGTAGTTCTTTCGGTTTCGGAAGAGTTCTGCTTCATCCCCACCTAAATAGTGACGCATTTTAGATAATCCTCATTAGTTGAAATTATTTAATGTACTGACCTGGAGATAGTACTCTTATATGTGTGCAGTCCATGGCAGCTAGCACGCGTGGAAACTTTGCCGTTTTATAAAATTGTCTCTGAATTTCTCTTTGGCTTTCTAATTCCAAGGGGACTTTTATAAATCGTTGTCTTAACAATGCAATGTTGTGACACACTCTCCTTATTGCGCGACAGGAAGAACTTTTTGAAACGCCACACAGGTCACCGCCAGTTCTTTGCATGCAGCCAGTTGCAAAGAAACGCAGTGTTAGTAAAAGCATTACTTCGGGAGAGATCGCACCGTTTCTACAATATTTATCAAAAAATAGCAGAATTTGTAATCGAAGGTACTTTAATGTTTACTTACTTGTTAGTTTTGTGCCGAATTTCGTTCCTAATCAGTTCAAGTACCATCCAAGCTGATTGTTTAGTCAAACGAAACCTATACCGAAAGTCGACTTCATCATAATATGTAAAACAATTACGTCGTTCCCTCATTATACGATTTACGATACGATACAAATTTCGCACTCCATATCACTTTCGTCTTCAGATTCCATTTTTTACAATATATTTATCTTCTGCTACTTTCAAATCAGCTGATAGAAAAACGTGAACATAGCTGCATATCATCGTATTTAAATAATATTTAAATGGGAAAAGGTGACCATTTAAATAATATTTAAATGGGAAAAGGTGACCATTTAAATAAAAATTAAGTCAAATGGTGAAACTGAAAAAAATAATTTTTCACTTAAATTGCTTTCGTGAAACTGGCTGTAAGAAAGCGATACTATCCTCTCTCAATAAAAGAATTACTAACATAAAGACATAAAATCAGCTGATGAATTTAGTTCTGTAGCTGAACATTAAAAAAAGGCTGATTGTAAAAAAAACGATTTGTTCGCAATACATTTATCGTCGTTTAAAGTAAAAAACCGAGTATCAAGATTATGCAAAACCTCGTATGTGAGGTTGGCNTGAATTTAGTTCTGTAGCTGAACATTAAAAAAAGGCTGATTGTAAAAAAACGATTTGTTCGCAATACATTTATCGTCGTTTATAGTAAAAAACCGAGTATCAAGATTATGCAAAACCTCGTATGTGAGGTTGGTCAAATCTTATACTACGTTCAAATTGACGAGCTAAACATGTTAAATGGGCTTGAACCAGTTAAATGAACAAAACATGTTCATAAACAAGTTAAATCGCATGCAATTGTTGTTGGAAAATTGAACCAGTTAAATCATTTAACTCGTTTGAAAACCAGTTCAGCGTTGTATCAGAAAGCTTTCTGCTACAGCCAATCAGAAAGAGCCAAAAGCTTTCATTTGACACGCCAATGTTCAAAAAATTTATATTCTGAAAAATATTAAAATTTAAAAATTATCAAAAAATATCAAAAGTGTATGCATGTCTGGCCGCCAAAAAAGAGGCCAAGGCGGTAATTAGTTATTTTCCATGAGGTCTCATCGTACGCAGAGATAAATAGTGCATACAAACTAAACATTTTGAAGTCGCGTCAATATCATGAAGCAGACATTCGCACAAAACAAATTGAAACACAAAAACTTGATTTTGAATATTTTTTCCGAATTTTTATTGGTAATCAAACCACCGTCAAAGTTAACTCCAAATGTTCAATGTGGACGATTGTGTTTTCCGAAAAGCTCTATTTCATTTAACAAGTTAAATGGGGCCAATTTGAACGTCATATTACAGGAGAGAGTAAAACGTGGTTTATTTCAAAACGGCTCTCTCTTTTACCCCTAATTATCTCTACCTTTAATACTTACATATCGATATTTTGGTATGAATGGATACAGCTAGATGGCACGAGCTCCCGGCGAGCAAATCCCATTTTTGGCACATTGTACATATAAAAGCATAGAAAGACAGCAACGTTGATCTNGATACAGCTAGATGGCACGAGCTCCCGGCGAGCAAATCCCATTTTTGGCACATTGTACATATAAAAGCATTGAAAGACAGCAACGTTGATCTGGATTAACGCCGCAATTGATCTGATCAAAATTGTGCCTTGACAGACGGCAGTAATGCCACGGCCAGGAGAATATTCAATTATTTTTTTTATTGATTCAATTATAACTTCTATATTTTTTTAAGTTGTTTTTAGTTAGTTGTTTTAGACTTTTTTAGTAAAATTAAACTCTAAAAATTTAAATTAACTAATAATAAAATAAAAAATGAGAAATAAAATAAAGCAAACCAAAATAAAATAAAAAACAATTAAATATATAAATCAAATAAAATGTAGAAAAATAAAAGAAATAATAAAAACAACATTTTTTTGGCCATAGCTCCAACCGAGGATCGAACCTGGGACCTACAGGCTTGTAGTACGCAGCTCGCCACTCGGCTACCGCGGATGAAGGAATCGGTTGCTTTATTTGCTCAGTTAGCGTAGAACACAAAGAAACTGCAAAACTAGCATAGACATCCACCCTGTCGTCGGTAATGCAGTCACCGAAATAAGTTTTTATTCATTTTAAATTAGATTCCTATTTGAATTAGTATTAGTGACTGCATTACCGATGAAAAGGTATATCGTCACTAGACACGAATAAAGGCGCGAGCTCAAAAGTTGACCGCGAAAAAAGACGCACAAAAAGAAATGTTTTTTTTTCCGACTTTTGCAAATTGAATAAGTTCTCTGTAAGATGGTTTGTTACAAAAAAATACGTGAACATACATATATGGTATTTGGGGTATGGAAAAAGGGATATTTCCAGCAGTAAACGTTTTAGTGTGGGCAACAATGATATTTTTGTAATTATTGTACCATGGTTTCAAACCCATTTATTTATTATTTATTTCATGGTAGGAGAGCTTCTCAAACAATATAGAAGCAATTTTTTCGATTCAAGTTTTTGAAAAGTAATGAATATCTAAATCCCGGGACTAATACCGGGATCCCGGGATTGAAACAACGCCATCCCGAAAATCCCGGTATCAGAAAAAGCCGAANAAGTAATGAATATCTAAATCCCGGGACTAATACCGGGATCCCGGGATTGTGACAACGCCATCCCGAAAATCCCGGTATCAGAAAAAGCCGACAAATTAACATCCCTACTGCCAACGTTGCATGAACTCTGAATACATCTGTTCGTACTAATTCGGACTGAGTGATTGCATTTTAGTAGATTTCACGAAAGTAGGGTTAAGATGGATTCAGTGATAGCCCCGATAGTTAAAAAATATATACTATACATATTTATGTAGAAACATATGTAAATAATTACGTACAAACATTCGTATTTGATCCATTATCTAAAATGTTTCTATTTCTAGCGCGGCTGAAACAAGTTTGCTATTAAAAATTATTCGCAAAGGACTGGTTGAATCGAACTTGGATTTGGAAGTGCAACGCAAGGACCCTAAATCACCCTTACATTCCGTTAAAACTTTCGAAGCCCTTCATTTGTAAGTAATTTTTCTATTTATTAGTAACATAATTTATTGTTTGCGCCATCATGAGTACCTTTGATTGTTCAAGGTTTTTATTAAGTGAGATATGTTGGTCGGATTTTGTACTCCGTACTTTCTCGCTTTGGATAAGAATGNTCGAAGCCCTTCATTTGTAAGTAATTTTTCTATTTATTAGTAACATAATTTATTGTTTGCGCCATCATGAGTACCTTTGATTGTTCAAGGTTTTTATTAAGTGGGATATGTTGGTCGGATTTTGTACTCCGTACTTTCTCGCTTTGGATAAGAATAAATTTCTTACAGCAAAGAATAAACATAGTTTCCGAGTAATAAGCCACATCTGTCAATTTTTCCGCATTCAATTGAAGAAAATTCTAAAAGATACAAGAAGAATAATGGCTAAGGCTCTTCGGACATTACGCGCCTAATCATAGCAGTGTAATCGTGTGTTCATGCCGAATGCAATTTTTTTTTAATTCTGAATAGAATGTAAAATTTTCATTAAAATTTGATATTTCTTAAATTTTCGTACGAAGTTTGAAGCTATACTTTTATAAAAAATTAAGGAACATTAAATAAAAGAAATATAGGTATATGAAATCCTTCCGTTTCGAGAGCAGTTGCTTCTCTGCCTCGGAGCTTGCCTGTGAGAACCTATCGTCATCGGAAGCGTTGCCGATCGTAAGACTCCGATGCTGGGACCCAGTGTCTCGATCCTTACCTGGCTTCTTTTCGACGGCTGCCTCCCTGCCCAAAGTAGGCTTGGAGACAACACCCTCTACATTCCTAGTAGCATTCATAGACTGCACAGCTTGAGATTCCACTGCCTAGCCTGAGAAGTCGATGGTTATCGACACCAGATGACATTCTCGCCCACCATCTACCGCCGTACCCCCCGTTCTTCTCCCACGGTCCTTCAGTAGCACACCTCCTCCCTCGGGGGTTTCTTTTATGTCTGCCACTCCCCGCTCGAGAAAGACACGGACTCAGCCGCCCCTGACATGGAGAGCAGACGTCGTTGTGAGTGGCCCCTAACCTGGGGAACCGACGCTCACTAAGGCGTTTATGCTATGGGTTATATGCCGTCCCTAACATGGTGAGCACGTGTACATAACAGCCGTTAAGGCATGTTACCCAGGTTGTACCGCGGGGAGGCGACTTAAATTACACTCCCAAGCCTTAATATACCACACTTTATAGGCACTCAGCCCTGTACTGCATTTCGACTCAACTTGAAAAGTAAAACGATATACATTTCGAGTAATTTTTATGATGATGTTCTCAATTTCGAATGAGATCGAACAAGTTCGAAATCGTTTTCATTTAGATTCGATAATCAGTTAGAACAGCTGTTGTCAGTCATTTATATACAGCCCTCTTCTGAAATCCAAGTCGGTATCGCATGCTAATCGGAATTCAATTCCCATTCGGTATTTAAGTGGTCTTCTATAATCCGATCGGAACTTTTGTTTCGAAGTTAATATCGAATCCGATTGTAAAAAAAACGAACAATCTGGCAACACTGTTTTCAAGTGTGTCAATTTTATCTGGTTAAATAAAACCAGGAAAATAAAAATGAGTTCAATTTTTTAATTGGCGATTTTGCTGAATAATGAGCAGCAAACAAATGAAAAAGTGAAGCCGAAAAATTTCCGCGATCACAGCAATTCCATGAACTACCTGAATCTGCGTAAGTAGTATAAGGCTAATTCCACGGTAATCGATACCGAATGAAACGAAAATAAACTTCTGAATTTTTGTGTATTATTTCTAATAAATAAGAGTAAATAAATCTAACTTTCAAGACTAGGAAGCCAAAATTTCGAAATTTATCTCAAAATCGGAGATTTTGTTACTTTAGGTTGTACCATTTAGAAACTCATATGAGAGGTTAATGTTCTTCAAAATTGACAATACTGATTTTCGTAGTCTATTGTCTTTTTTGCATTGTTTAAACGGTCAATGCAGAGAACAATTCGACAGCACTATAACTGTGTTATTTTGCGTTTTTCGGGCAAGTACTGATTATTTTATTATATATGTATTGAAGCTAAGCATATTTTAATGTCACGCCCGTCACAAAATGCAAACAATAGTTTTTTTTTTTAAAGAAAACACATCTTGCACAGTGTAAAAAAGCTGACGAAGGTAACGCTATGACACAGGCGAATATGTGCGAATTGCTTTTAAGTATTTATGTGCTTTTCTTTTATGTTGGTCACGCCCGTAACATCCGGCACAATTTAAAGTTTGGCAAATTTTAATCAATTCGGTCAGGGACTGCTACCGTTACTTATCTGCTAATCTGAAAGGTATCATATATCTGTTTGTGAACACCGATGATAAAGCTATCTAATCAAAGATATCTTGCTCGAGCGATGGGAAAACTAAGTTATGCTGTCACGGATACAAAAGAAAACATTATTTCACTTGTCAGGGTAAAAACAGTATCTCATACGGTTTAGGTTCGGTTATCTCGGCTGCCCTTAGGCCACCATGGACCCATTATGATGCCGTATTAGAGACTCCATATGTCTCTCCTCTTACCCTAGAAATGGAACCACTTCGTAGCTCTGATGAAGCGCATAAAGTCATAGATACTGGCTGAATCCGGTTCGGCCAGACAAAGGAATAATGGAGGAACGATCATCGACGAGCTCTTTCCAGAGTAGGACAGTGGCATAAGTAGTGCTCTACGCTTTCGATTTCCTCCTCATGACGGCAGCTACGACAGTAGTCGTTTGACTGCAAACTCATTCTAGTGGCGTGGGTTCCCATCAGGCAATGCCCGGTGAGAACTCCAATAAGATGTCGCAGCAGTGGTCGCTCCAAGTGGAGGAGAGGGCGAGATCTACGCTTGTCCACCTTAGGCCAGATATGTTTTATATTTGCCCGTCCGGCAAGTTATTATCCAGCCAGAGCTTGCAAGAAGATAGCGGAATGCCTGCATTACGGGCTGTACTGATTGCAGACAACAAGGTCGCTTCCTTTGCTAGTTCATCTGCAGTACAGTTTCCCGGTATGTCTTTGGGGCTTGCACCCATACAACATTAGTGACGTAACATCTTGCCAGTTAATTAAGAGTACGTCTACATTCCATAACAATCTTCGACGTAGATTTGTCACTATTAAGTGCTTTAATAGTCGCTTGGCTATCAGAAAAGATTGATACCGCCTTCAGATTAATTAGAGAATCGATCAGCCAACTTGCAGCTTCGTTTATTGCTTAGTTCAGCCTGAAAAACTCTACATAGATCTGGCAGACGAAAACTAAGCCTAAGTGAGAATTCTTGCGAGTATACCCCACTTCCTACCTTCATCAGTGTAGATGGCTGTTGAGTCAATACGAGATCAGGACCGATTCCTCCTCCCATTCTTCCCTTGAGGGGATCGTTGTCGTGTCACACCATTTGATTAGTGCATTTAATCTAATAGCATTAGAGATTGCCTGTCGTTTACCATATAGGTCCACAGGTAGAAAGTGAAGCAAGGTCTCTAGGGCTTAAGTCGGCGTCAATGGTAGCGCTACCGTGATCATCATGCACGCCACCCATTGGACCGTTGTTAATTTGTTTCTTATTGTAGATTTATCTACGGACGACCACCAAACCGTTATGCCGTAGAACAGAACGCTGTGTACATCCAGTTCACAATGTGAGGCTCCATTCCCCATTTTTTCCCTATCGCTGATTTACAGGCATACATAGCAGTTATAGCTTTTTTGCAACGCTCTTCTAAAGGGTGAACACACCAAAACTGCGACACGTAGAAATTACTACCAGAAACAAACTAGCAGACTTTGAAATTATTATTTTTTGTATTATATAACTTGGAAGTTTGGATGTTATTAAAATGTTAAAATATTAGTTATTATTTGCTCCATATGCAAGTGATCGGTATTTTCATCGCACACGCGCCATCATGTTCTGCACGACTGCATCATCGACTTTACGCGATGCGCACAACTACTTTGTTTTGCACTCTTCAATATTTTTCACTGTTTCACCTGTTTTCTGCAAGATTTCTTTGACAATTGACCAATATTCCCCAATAGGACGTGGCTCTGGGCTATTGGGTGGATTGCAGTCGTGAGGTACAAAATTGATGTTATTTGTATTATACCACGGCAATGTGTCCTTGGCATAGAGGCAGGTTCCCACGTCCGCCTAGAACAGTGGCCTACTCCTTATCTGTTGATAAATGACAGAAGACGCCTTTTGAGGCACTCATCCCGAAAAAACTTGATCATTCATTGTCCCGGATGGGGAAAAAGGGCAGCTCTTACGGCCACAGGATCAAATAGCTTGCCAAACCATGTGGTTTTTTTGGAAATTTGGGCTTCATTTTCAGCTTACAACTTTCAGGGGCATCTTGACGACTTGCACTAGTATAAAAATTTTGACCTGCAATATATTTTGAATTTTTATAGCAGTAGGTTTCGTAGTCCATAACAATGCAGTTGTATTTTTAATTTAGAATTCATACAACTTCCGAATGCGGGATTTCGCTGTAACATTCTACTTTGCGCCTCGGTCTGGCGCTGTTTGAGCTGTAGAACATCTCAATGAAGCTTTCCGCTTTACCTTTTGTACGAAAAACTGCGATCTGCGTACGGATTTTGCAACATAACGTGACAAAATCTTCGGATTTCGCGAAAACGCACTGAGGACCTTCCGAGCACTGTTTTTATCACTTTGACCATGCTAACCCCCGCTCCCTGGTTTTCTCGTAACTGCCAGGCCTTATTTGTACCGATTAAAACCCTGCAAACTGTCGAATAGTGCAATCTTTAATTTTTTAGCAATTTTACGTGTACTTAAGGCCGGATCATTTATAAACTCGTGCAAAATGGTTTGTCTCGTTTCTAACTCGGTTGCCATTTTTAACTCAACTAGGAATCAAATTCAAATGAAATTTCTTCTACGTCCAACTAAGGTCATGTGGTCAGCTTATGGTATTTGAATTTCAAAATATTGAATTCGTTTTGGGTAAGTTATAAGCTTCCCA